TTATTTTGATATATCACAGTGAAAGATTTATCGTCCTCTTTTTTTTTTTTTTTTTTTTTCAAAAAAAAAAAAAAAAAAAAAAAAAAAAAAAAGTCTTATCTGGGACACAGTAAACCTGTGTTGCTATTTATGAAGCATGTTACCTAGAACATGTCTAGCCTATGGCTCTAGGTGCTTTGCTTATGTTATTGTTAAACTTACTAATCTTGCAATCAAGTTTGTGTTAGCTCTATTGAATACATATAGAAACTAATACTCAGAAAAGAGAAAGGACTTAAGTTCACCAGAGTTCTGTGCAGACTACCTCCCTGCAATCAGCATTCTGGTTCTTTCTGTATATTACATTTGCCACTTTATTAAGCAGCTTCCTTTGGACTGGCTTGCTGGTATGATTCAAGCTCATTTTTGCTATGTATGGGTTTATTTTGATTGCTTTATAAATTAAAGAATGACAAATAACATGAGTGGTAAGTCAAAGTGTGTGATGAAAGAATAATGTTAAAACATACATATCATCAGTATAAAAACAAAACATAATGATTCCAGTAGTATTTGGAAATGAGTTCAGGACTAATGTTTGCTCATTTTTATTTTCCCGTTTAGTTTTTAGTCATCTGTCCTCCTCTTCCCCCACCTCTCCTCCTCTTCCTCCTTGTAATATCTTAATTTCAATTTTGAGATAAAGAGCAACATTAATTACCTTAATGTTTTACAAACTGCTGATGAAAAGTAAAGAATTAAAATATTATTGCAATATTATTGTTTTCCTTTCTTGATGCGCTGTATGGCTATGCTTCATCCTCTTCTTGTTACTTGTTATTTTCCACGCTTTGATTAGACATCGTTTGCATACCTAGTCACAGTCTGCATACCTAGTAAGTATGCCATGTGTACATTAGATTTGAGACATAGTGAATGAATCTGTCAGCTAGTTTATCTTAAATTATTTCTTTATATCTAATTAGAATTTCATTGTTATAGAGAAATGCCTTAGAAGTACTGTTTTACAAGATACAGACAGGAATTATAATCGCTTTTCTTAGGTGTTTAAGAGCCCCATAAGTTTTCTCATTGGATTACATTGTAACACAGTAGAATGTTTTGGTTAAAAGAATGTTACTATGTATTTCAAAAATGAGTTAAAAATTTTGCGGAACTAAACTGCAATAAAACATTGCAGATACAGTAAATGCAGCTTTATTTTTATTTTTGTTGTTGATAGGATCATGGGAATTTGTAGTAGTATGCCATCAGTCTTATGCTAGATATTGCTAAAGTGCTATCTGACAGGGACTTCTGCTTACTACCACACAACGTAGTGTATTGTAAGAAAGTATAATATCGGTTCTGGTGCCTCCTCCCTCCCCCATGTGTGTGTGTGTGTGTGTGTGTGTGTGTGTGTGTGTGTGTGTGTTTCTTGGGATGGAACTCAGGGTTTTATGCATGCAAGGGAAGGGAAGCACTCTACCACTGTCTATATATGCCCTAGTCTATCTATGACTTATTTATATGCTCAACCAAAAATAAAATCAATTGTTAAAAAAAAGTTCAGCAGCCAGGCATGAGCCTCATACCTTTAATCCCAGCATTCAGAAGGCAAAGCCAGGCAAATCTGTGAGATCAAGGCCAGCCTGGTCTACATAGTGATTTCTAGGCCAGTTAGTGTTACAGGGAGACTGTCACAAGAAGAAAAATAAATTTTTGTATCCTAAAACTCAGCTAAACATTTTATCTAATGTAAAATTGATTTATTTAGGTTGACTCCCTGTCAAATGTTGTAAAAGAACTTTTCAAATAAAAAAGCAGATTTCCAACAAATCAACACTCTATTTTACAAATAACGTGATGTTTTATTAAACTGTAAAAATCATATTTTCTGTTTTCTTGCAATGCTGGAGTTTGAACCCAAAGCCCTGTGCCTGCTAGTTAAGTAGTCTACTGCTGAGCTACATCTAAGTCTAAAAATTTTATTCCTTAAGGGCCGGGCGTGGTGGTGCATGCCTTTAATCCCAGCCCCTGGGAGGCAAAGGCAGGTGGATCTCTATAAGTTCAAGGCCAGCCTAGTCTACAAAGTGAGTTCCAGGACAGCTGGGGCTACAGGGAGACCCTGTCTCAAAAAGACCAAAAAAAAAAAATTTTTTTTTATTCTTGTCTCTTCAAAGTCTTCATCTATTTTTGAAGCTCCTTTTTCTGTGGATAAATATACCACATAGTTGTTTCATTATTATGTTTTTATATTCTCTTTAATGATGTATATTCCAGTACTAATTTAGTATTGATTTTTGTTGTTGTTGTTGTTGTTGTTGTTGTTTTGTTGTTGTTGTTGTTTTTTTAAATTTTGAGGCAAGCTCTTGTTATGTTGCCCAGACTGGTCTTGAACTCCCAGTCTTCCTGTCTTGACTTTCCAAGTGCTGGGATTCAAACTTAGTGATGAAAAGCAACAAAGATTTATTTATTATCTTACACTTTGGGTGTAAAAAGCCAGAGTTTTAATGATGCTTTTTAAAAAGGTGCTGGCAAGGCAGTGTCTTCCTGGAGCCTGTAGGAGGGAGTCCCCTTTGTCTTTTCCAGTGTCTAGGAAGCCCCTGCATCTCTTGGCACCTTCCACCTTCACAGCCCTGGTCTAGGATCTCAGCTGTCCTCCTCTTTCTGATCATGGCCTCTCTGCTTCTGTCCTCACACTGCTTTCTAACTGGCCTTTCTCCACCTTCCTATAAGGACCCATGTAATTCCATTAGTTCTACCTGGATAAACTCTCATCTCAAGGTCCTCAATCCACCTGCAAAGTACTTTTTACCTTATGAGGGCACATATTTGCAGGCTTTGAGAATTAAAGTGGGTCATCTTTGGGTGTTATTATTCTGCCTGATAGAGAACGTGTCCAGGGGAGCAGTCATATGCATTCCTGAGTAACTCATTAGTCAAAGACCCTGCCCCTTGGAATAGCTGCTCTGTCCTGTTCTCTTGGAACCTTTGTCATTTGTTTTCCTTAGTGAATTCCCTGTTTTATCAGCTCACCTCCCTTGCAGGTACCTTGAGCAATAATGCCCGTACATATTTGACTCTCGACATACTGCGTAAGAAACAAATTTAGTTATCAGCTCAGGTCACAATAAGTTGTAAATGATATCAAAAAAGATCTCCTGGCTCTCTGAGTGCCCACCTGTGGTGGAGTGGGCTTTGTGCTGCTCTTTGGGACCTTCCACAGAGTTCCTGGCCAGTGAGGGGACAAAGCACAGCCAGCTTCAGTGTACCAAGCAGGTCTCTGAGCCTTGCTGGTGGGTCCCAGAACTAAGATAGGATTTGAAGACACCCACTGGCCTCTTACACTTGAAGGCAGAGTGGCTCTGAAGCTCACACAGGGACAGTATTTCTTCTGCATTAGCCCGAGGAATGAAGGCATAAAGTGGACTCTCCCTTTAGACATGGTTGGGCTGGCAGGAATGCCTGGGTGATTGTTCTGCCCTGTTGCTTCATTCCGTGCCAGATGCAGAGCAGGCTCTCTCCTGTGGATGTTGCTGCTTCAGAGGATAACCTCTATATGAGGCAGGGCAAGTCTTTAAAAAAAAAATATTTTATTTATTATTTTTATTTTATGTGTATGAGTATATTGGCCTGCATGTTATGTGAGTGCACCCGTGTCATGCAGTGCTGCGGAGGTCAGAAGAGGGCTTCGGATTCCCCTGGAACTGGAGTTAAGGACTGTTCGTAGCTGCCATATGGGTGCTGGGAATTGAATCCGGGTCCTCTGCAAGAGCAGTCAGTGCTCTTAACTGCTGAGCCATCTCTCCAGCCCTGAGGCTGGGCAAATCTTCAGAACGTTGGTCTTTCCTGTATTCTGTGTCAGCAGCTGTCAAAATAAATAAATAGACTTAAAACCCAGCACATTTTTTATAAATATTTTTATTGAATCTAGTTTTTTTTTGAGATAGGGTCTCATTATATAGCCCTAATTGGCCTGGAACTTACTCTGTAGACCAGGTTGGCTAGAACTCTAGTCTCAGCTGACCTGGAACTCATTCTAGACTAGGCTGACCTTGATCTCACAGAGATTTGTCTGCCTCTGCCTCCTGAGTTCTGGGATTAAAGGTGTGTATTTTGATCATATTCAGATTCCCTCCCCCATCACTGCTCCCACCCTGGTATCTCCCTTACCCCCCTTACTTCATGTCTTCTATTTTAAGTTTTCTTTTTTAAAAGGCCTATTGAGTCTCGTTTGTGTTCCCCAAATGCTCTTGGGTGTGGGTCCATCCCTTGGAGTGTGGTCAGCCTACCAGGAGTCACACCAGTAAGGAAAACTGACTCTCCTTTCCCAGCAGCTATCAATTACTAATGGATCCTCTGCTAGGGCTGGGGCTTCTTGCCAAGCTTCCCCATCCATGCTGAGATTTTGTCTGACTTGGGATTGCACAGGTATGTGTGTTGTCACAAGACCTGTGGGTTCATAGGAAGCCATTTATGTGCTAGATAGACAGCCTTAGCTGGGTGTGTTGGCCATGAGCCAGAGGATCACTTGAGCATGAGTTCAAGATTGATTTGGACAACAAACTGAGAACTCACTCCCTCTCAAAAGACATTTACTTAACCTTCCTTTATTTTGTTTATAGGTACCTGGTTTTATTAAAAACAAAAAGATCCCAATAAAACTGGGTGTGTTGGCCTACACCTTTAATGCCAGCACTCAGGAAACAGAGGTAGGTGGATCTCTGTGAGTTCGAGGCCAGCCTGGTCTACAAAGAGAGTTCCAGGTCAGCGGGGGCTAAAGGGAGACCCTTTTTCAAAAAAACCTAAAAAAAAAAAAAAAAAAGGATTCTTTCCGGGCGTGGTGGGTCACGCCTTTAATAACACCAGTGGAGAAGACTGAAAATAGAAAATACACAAATAAATGTGTAATGTTAAGTCATGGCAATATTTTGAAGCCAAGAACAGAGTCTCTCAAGAGAAACACAGCAGGGGCCTACTTTAGGCTTAAACTAAATGAGGTGATTTTACCGAAAGAAAAGCATAAACGTGAAGAACAGTAGTTTACTCAAGTAGAGAAAGGAAGAGAACATGTGTTACCAGAGCTCTGAATAGAGAAAGACAATGAGCTCAAAGAACTTACGGAAATCAGAATGGCTGAAGTGTGCAGTGAATGGCTTGGAATAAGGATGGAGAATTAAGCAGTGGCCCCATCACACAGGCAGCATTGGAGAAATCTTATTTTACTCTAAATGCAGTGGGAAACCACTAAATGATTTCAATGAGGAATGGGGACTTGATCTCGTTCACAGTCTTAAAAGAGCTCTCTGAAGACAAAGAAATATAGAAGTAAAGCAGTGGTGAGCTTAACAAAGAAAAAAAAAACACAAGGCAGGTGGCTAGAGGCGTAGGAAAAAGAGCTGAGTTAAGTTAAGCAACTGAGCTAAGAGCCAGTGGTGTTGCAGCATCCGCTGAGAGCAGTGAGGAGGAAGGAGACAAACAGTGGGGCATGAACAGGTGGAGCGGGGGCACAGAGGAGATTGCTGGTCTCTGGCCATTCTTAATTCCAGACACTGAAAAACATTCAGGTCGAAAATTCAGGCAAACAGCTGAATTTTTAGTAGAACTAAGAAGAAAGCAGAGAAAGAGAAATTGTCAGCAAATACATGGATGGTAAAGCCCCTCGAAACAGTAAGATCATGTGAGGAAATGGATAAGGAAATAGTAAGGCCCAGGACAAGAACTGTGGAAGCCACAGGAGAGCGCTGAGCAGAGACACAGGAATCATTGAAAGGACGCCTTCGTCTCAACTAACTCGCCTGTCACTCTTTTCATTTACTTCTTTCTAGTAGCCCTTCCTGACTGCTGTGCACTAATTCTGATTATCTCCTTAGATCCTGAATTCTCCTAGCATCTCTCCTAAACCTTTGCCTATAAGCTGCCTCGTGCTGTTTTATGTCATTCCTGGATATTTCTTGGCTAAGCATAATTTCTTGATTGCTAATTAGAATAGCAACCAGACAAGGGCTCAAGCCTGAAGTTCAGGGAACAGATTTGGTAGGGAAAAAAAAAAAATGCTGAAATCTCTAAGAAAAAAACTGGTTATCTCCTTTCTTTGACTGTTTCTCTTACAGAGGAAATGTGACAGCACAGTTCGTGAAAGGGCCACAGAGAAGGCAGTAGACTGACAGAGGACTTTTTTTTTCCTTCAAGTTATGATATGGGTATATTAAAGCTTTTGCTTTCATTTATATCTATATTTTGTTAGTAAAAGAGGCTTTCTGAATTATGTTTGTGTCTGAGTTTTATCAACCTTATCTTTATAATTTGATAAAGTATAGTAAAAGAACTGTAATTATGCCTCACCAGAGAATTAATAGTAACTTATTTGTTAAGTGCCCCATACCGGGTACTTTATATGTATCATCTCATTTTATTTTTACAACAGCCATCTAAGGGTGATGATGATGCCCTACTTTTCAGATGAGCACACTGAAACTCTGAAAAGTTAGCCACATCATGGTCATATAGCCAGTATATGCCAAAGCAGGAATTAAAGCCAGATGTATTCAATACTTTCTACTACCTACCATAGGCTGTTTTTATGGTAAGTATATGTATTAGTTACTTTTCTGTTGCTGTAATAAAATACCATGACCAAAAGCAACTTAAGAAAAAAAGTTGATTTTGGCTTACAATTCCAGGGCTTAAAGTCCATCACCTTGGGGTGGCAGGGCAGCAAATGTCAGGAGTAGAGAGATCACAGTTTTATCCACATGCAGAAAGCAGAGTGAATTGGAAGTGGGGCGAGGATATATACTCCCAGAGCCACTCCATATTTCCACTAGCAAGGCTTCAGCTCCTGAAAGTCCCATCACCTCCCTAAACAGCACCACCAACTGGGTGTTCAAATACTTGAGCCTATAGGGGGATATTTCTCATTTAAACCACCTTAGTATATTATTATGTACTTAAAATATATGAAATATATTTGATGTGGATATGGTGTTTCTGTTTTCTCTGTTAAGCAGTTAAGAAATATTTAATTCAAAAATTAAAGCTGAGAATTTTAAATTTCTGTATAAATCAGGAAGGGTCTGTTCTTCAACATTTATTCCAGAAAAAGACATAAAAAATGATGGGACATTTTTGACCCATTGTGGATATACAAACTAGTATAAAAATGTCCATGTCCTTACTACTATTTCAGCTTTGGTATTTGTACCCTTGCAACTCGTGTGGCAATGTAAGTGCTGATTGGATATGTGGGCTGCTGGCAACTTTTTTTTTCTGAAGCAACTTACCTTATTTGCCATTTTCCTTTTCTTAGTTGAGTCCAGATTTATATCAGGATTGAGTCATGACACTTTGAGTACCTCCCATCATATTTTATAATGTGGGAGAGGAGTGATGGTGTGTGGAGGTTCAGAGCCTGTAGCCCTGGAATGATCAGTTTCATACACTGCCTTTCTCTCTCGTGATCTGAGGCCAATTGTAGAGAAGGGCCTTATGGGAGATAATTGTGAATGCCTCATTTCTGCTTCTTGAGATGAGTGGGCTAACTCAGTCCTGTTAGGTTGCAGGTCGAGGGGCATGCTCATGTTCTAATGCTCTCCCTAGAGTTTCAAAGTCCAGTGTAATATTCTTAACTTATGATTATGGCATGCTTGTGAAAGATTCCCTTCAGGTTAGGGTGCATTTTGGACTTGGTTACTTGAGAGTTTTGTTTTGTTCTTACCCAATCTAATGGGGAAAAGCCTTTTAAAAATATTTTTTATTTATTTATTTTCTGTGTATGAGTGTTTTGCCTGCAAGTATGTAAGTGCGCTCGTGCTGTACAGTACCCGTGGAGGTCAGAAGAGGGTATTGGATCCCCTGGGCCTGGAGTTATGGATGGTTGTTAGCTGCCATGTGGGTGCTAGGAATCAAACCTTGGGTCCTCTACAAGAGCAGCCAGTGCTCTTAACTGATGAACCATCTCTCTGTCCATGGGAAAACCTTCTTTATGCTGGTAAAGAATCGAAGTCAGGGGGCTGGAGAGATGGCTCAGCAGTTAAGAACACTGGTTGTTCTTGCAGAAGACCCGGGTTCGAATCCCAGCACCCACATGGCAGCTAACAACCATCTGTAAGTCCAGTTCCAGGGGATCTGACAGCATCTTTTATCCTCCACAGGCATTGTACAACATGGGTGCACTTACCTACATGGAGGCAATTCACACATACACATTAAAAAAAAAAAGAAAAAAAAAAAGAATCGAAGTCAGATCCTCCAATACTACAGAAAAGGAAAAAATAAATAAATAAATATAAAGGCCTGTGCATTGCTAATTCAGGTATCTCTGATAACAAAATGTTACTGGTTCAGTGTAATTGGAGTGTAAGAAAAAAATTAAGGCTGAGACTTACAGGGTAAGCTAGAAATGACAGGGATCTGTAGTAAAATGAGTAAAAGGGAATTGTGGTTGTAATGCAGATCCAGGACAGGGCTAACCAGAAGCTACTCTTGGGCTTAAATGCCTGAGACACGAAAGTGGTTTACAAGAGGAACAGTGAATGATGAGATTATATAAAAACTGGCTCTCTCTGTGGTATGTAGTAAGTATTCATTAAGTAATGATTAACTCATTCATTCCCAACAGTTTATAAAAGTTTTCCAAACAAAATACATGGATATACATAATGGCTTTTCATAGATGAGGATATCTTACAACTTACCTGAGTACTATCTCATTACAAAGTAGTTTATTTATTGTAGTGCTAGGGATCAAACCTAGGGCCTTGCACATGCTAGGTAGGAGTTCTACAACTAAGCTCTATCCCTAGTTTTAAAAATTTATTTTTAAAGGTAATGCAGATGGTTATATTTTTGTCATTTTATAGTATTTGTATTATATTTTATAATTTTTGCTATATTATTCAAGAAAAACTTGAAAATATAGTAAGAGTTTTGCTAAAGTTCAAGTGATTGAATGTTGTACATAAATTCTTCACTTCTTTCATAAAACTAATTTCGTTGAATTCTCCATAAAAAGTGCAAGTACTAAACATTCTTGTGATAGCTGCTTTGTGAATGTGTCACTGTTCTTGGTTGCACACGCCTTATAATTTCAGCTTTCTTTTGTTTGTGGTTGGCAGTTCCGACTGTTAGAGCTCTTGTCTGATTATGTGGAACTTCATTTTAATGGGAGTAGCTTCTTTGCTGCATTTTTAAGAAATGGTCTTGGAAGCTTCTCACTGTGGATCTTTGTTGGGGACAAAGGATTATTTATGCTAAAGGAAAATGTATTCCCCACTGAACAGCTCGTGGGATGCTTAAGAAGCTCATTAGTAACGCTCACTTGTACTTTGGCCTTTTGCTGTGGTTGAGGGAAGGAAAAATGAGATCAAAAAGGGCATTCTATTGTCTTTTGCCTCCCCGCAAAGAAAGTGTGATAGAATGTTAGGCTCTTCGGTTAGGGTTAGCTCAGGTTCAGCCTTGGTACCAGAAGAAATGCTCCTGAAAGAAAGTGGTATGTATGGTTAGCACTGTTCATGAGATGTGTCTGACAGAGCTTAGAGGAGGAAATAACTTTTTCTTGGGAACTGATAACATTTTAGCCTTAAAATTGGTTTTATATATTTTTTGAGACGTTTTTAGTGGTAGTTTCTAATAAAAAATAGAGTGTCTTACTATGTTGGTATAAGCAAGTAACAGTTCTATGCTTTTATATAATCTGATAATCTGTATTGTTTTTTTTTTAAGCTTTCACTTATTTTCTCCCTGAAAGCACATTAAAGAACTGCATTGGCCTAGTTTAACTTACTGAAATTTTTCTTTCCTTTGTAGATTTCAAGAATAGTTCTTTGCAGTTAATACTGTTGGTCCTTTTGGTTTTTGTTTATGACAAGTTATTATATGAAGTATGGAGTATTTTTGTTTCACAGTTGAAATTGTTATGTTACTATCTTGCTATCTAGCAGAAAAACTTGTGGCTAAGCATGTGAGTTTATAAAGTCCATGTGACTCATCCTGTAAAGACAGTTACTGTGAAGATGAGATGAAAGAAGCTTGCGCTTCAGTGTCGCAGATTTTATATTTATATTACTTTCATATTACTTTATAGGACAAGGTAGAGTTCTGGGAGACTTGTCGTATGATCTGAGTTTATGTTAATTCTGTCTCACTGTCCAGGTGCTTTAGCAGTTACTCTGATATTAGTGCCAGGGACAATGTAGCAAAGACTACTTTTCTCTTTCAAGTGAGAAGTGCCTTATGAAGGCAGACGCCACTATTGTGTTCTTTTATAGTCAGCTAACTACCAGAAAATGTTTAGGTTTTCAATCAAAAAGAAGAGTAAAGCACATTCCTGAAACTTGTACCTGGGGCGTGGGGGAGTATGGATGCTGACGTCATCCACATGTTAATATCTTGCTCTGTTTTCAGAATAACAGTTTCATTTCCGCATAGATGACCATGCAACCAGCGATTCAAGTAAGTGTTCCTGGAAAAATAAATTGTGAATTGATATAATTAACTTACTGAAATAGTAAAATGATTCCAAAATGTTTTCATGGCATTAGTTTTTTATGTACTCTATTTTAATAGCAAATACTGCATTTTGATGTTCTAGTTTTCAAGAAGATTTTAATTCTAAATTTTAATCGTGTTGGATATTTGAAATTTACTCAGTAGGATTTCCTTCAAGCTGGCTTATGGGACTTCTTGATAAGTCTGTTATTCTTTGAGTGCCTCTTTGCTTTCTGTTAAAAGATTATAAGGTTCACCCCCTCCCCCCCGCCCATCTTTGTGCGTTTCTTCTCTGGCCTGAGAACTCTGCCTCTGGCTGAGGAATGCCTTCCTACGGGTAGTCAGTGGCTGACTGTCGCTGTCATCTTCTCACTGGTAGAGACTCATACAACTCGCTTGGTGCTGACGCTGTCTAATGACATGGTTCTGCTTTGCCTCTGTGGATGCCTTCTGTGTCCTATTCAGAACAAGACACCTTGCATAGGGCTACCCTCATACATCATCCAAGCTCCTACTATTTATATTCCAAATCACCTTCCTTGAACAACCCCCTCCTTACCTCTCTTGGGCTCTATTACCCCTTCTTGAGTTGTTAAAGAGAAGGATAAGAGATATTTGAAACTTTTTAAAAAAGTGACTTCATGTTTTTTTTCAACATTTACACATTTGAGCCCTTTCTATAGATAATCTTAAAGCAAATCTGCTTATATTTCAAGTTTTTCTAAGTGTTGGTTTGATAGTATGTTTATATCATTTTTCAGTCTTAAAATATGAGCAAATGGGGCTGGAGAGATGGCTCAGCTGTCAAGAGCACTGGCTGCTCTTGCAGAGGACCTGGATTCCATTCCCAGTACCCACATGACAACAACCATCCTAACTTTAGTTCCAGGGGATCCAGTGTCCTCTTCTGGTCTGCACAAGCATTGCATGACATTGGTACACTTACAGGCATGCAGGCAAAACATTCATATGCATACAAAAATAGCCAGATGTGATGGCACATGCCTTTAATCTCAACACAAGGGAGGCAGAGACAGGAAGATCTCTGTGAGATTGAGGCCAGCCTGGTCTACATAGTGAGTTCCAGGCCAGCTGGGGCTACAGGGAGACCCTGTCTCAAAAAGTCCCAAACAAAACAACAACAAAGGCTAAAAATAAATCAAAAATAAAAAATTTAAAATAATCAAGAACTATATTAGGCTTTGCAGGCCAATAGGCAAAATTGAGACTATTACATGAATACCCGTATAACAAGTGTTTTAAAATATGAAGCTCAGTTTTAGCTGTGGGTCATAAAAAAATGACAAAGAAGATTTGCTTATACAGTGTTTTCTCTTGCTTTAATCAAAATATTTAGAAATTGTTTTTTTAAGGTAACATTTTAAGAGCGAGATGGCTCAGTGGCTGAGAGAACATACCGCTCTTGTGGAGGACCCAAGTCAGTTTCCAGCACCCATGTCAGGTGGCTCAACTGTTTGTAACTTTGGCTTCAGGGGGATCTGACACCTTCTTTTGGCCTCCATGGGCACCCATACGCACATGCACAATCCTGCACACATATGCATAGAATTAAAAAGTAAGTATTTTTTTAAAGGTGTTAACATTGCAATTATGATTTGGAAGCTTACAGATGCCATGTATAGATTCATTTGTTTATCCATCCAACAAATACTTGTTTAATCGCTGCTGTCTGTTGGGACCAGTGCTAAATGCTGCTAACATGTATCCTGTAAAGCAGGTGTCATTTGTAGCTAAGATGCTGGAGTTCTGGTTTAGTTATTGTTAAATTTCCTAAGCTAGCACGTAGAGGAAAATATTACTTGTTCAATTTTTATCCTCTTAATGCTATAGTAGAATCCATTCATTCATTAAGAGTTCACGACATTGACCATAGTATTGAACATTGAAAGCATTCCAACTACCTTGACTAATAGTTTGCTTCTAATTTATTTCTTTTCTACGAGATGCTGCAATTTTGCTCACTGCCTATGGCTTATGCTTACTCGTTTGAGCATGGGTGTGGATTATGGTGACTTTTAGCAAAGGTTGCTTTCTTTCCTCTGATTGGAATTTTGTCTAGGTATGGTTTGGAGAAGATCTACCTCTAAGTCCACGGAGTCCTCTGACTCCCAGACATGGACCAGGACTGGCTAATGTTTGTCAGTTTGATGAGTGGATCGCTGTGAGGCATGAAGCCAGTCTTTTGCCCATGCAAGAAGATCTCTCTATTTGGTTGTCTGGTTTACTAGGTAAGAAACTTGCAAATATACCCATTTTACAAAATTCTCTTATTTGATAGATATTTGTTGAGAGCCTTATTTTTTGTCAAGTGGTGATTGTTCCAGATGCCAGGGATACTCTAGTGAGTGAATACTCAGTGTCCTTCTTCCCATATTCTCCCTAGTTGAGAAACTCACACTGAACCTTGGGTCTTGAATTATAAAAAGTTTCAGATTTAACTGAAGTGGTCAGTAATTTTGAATAATGAAGACTTATTGTTAATATGAAAATCTTTAAAAAGTTGTATAGGTCTCATTTTGTCTTTTCTTTTTTTACTAATTTCTCCAAATCTTGTATAAAGCAGAAGACTATAAGTGGAAGAAATACTGTAGTCATATAAAAATGATTAACGTTACTGACACTTTGAGAGGTAGAAGCAAATGTGACCAAAAAGAAAATGTCAGGTTGGAGAATGTCTGTGTTGTAGTTCTGACTCTCTTTGAGAATGTTATGAATGCTTTGAACTTCCTCTCCAAAAAAACAAAATCACTTTTTGTTTTGTGTGTGTGTGTGTGTGTGTGTGTGTGTGCTCTGTGTGTGGGGCAGGGGGGGAGTATGTGAGTAGGTACTTGTGTGTGCGTGTTCACATATATGTGTGTGTGCATAAGTGGGTTTATGTGCATGGGTACTAGTGTGGGTGTGGGTACATGTGTTTGCATGTGTGTGTATTTATGTATGTGCATGTGGAGGTCAGAGGACAGCCTTGGTGTCAGGTACTTGCCACTTTCTGGGTGAGACAGAGTCTCTCACTGGCCTGTAACTTGCTATCTGGCCACAAGCTCCAGGGATCTGGTCTACCACAGACACACGAACACATGTCATTTTTACATAGGTTCTGGGGAATCTAAGCTCAGTTTTGAGCTTTAAGGACTAAGCTATTTCCTAAGCCCCTCAAATCACTTAAATATAGAATTTCATGTAGCATCCCAAGATATTTATGGAAAGGAACAGCCTGAAGATTGTCTATGGTGTTTCAAAGATAAATACACACTGAGCATTCAGTCAAGTTTTGTCTGGTATTGGTTTGATGATTTAGAAAAAATTTTTGTTTGTTATGTAATAATGATGCTTTTAAAGAAGGCATTTTAGAGGTCAAAAGTTGGTATCCCCTGGCTATTTATTCTGGTACTGTATTTAATCATTAAATTGTAACAGAATCCATCTTATTTATAAAGAATCTTTCTCTTGTACAAATGATATTAATATGCAGTGAATTTATCTAAAAGGAAATGAAGCCCAATTTAAATTTATCCGTTCTGTACTTTATACATCACAGATATTTTTCTTTTGTCTTTCATTTAACTTGACATTATTTGTTTTAATACACCTTTTAAGGGTGCAAGCTTAGGATTCTGATCTGGTATTTGTCTAGTTTTCTGTGGTTATCTGATTGTATTTAATTTCATTTTAGCCAATGTCTTTTAATTGGCTGCTTCTAGAAGGGCCTCAGCTTTAAGATGTGTTTTTAGGTATTGAAGTTAAGGCAGAGAAGTTATTGGAAGAACTTGATAATGGAGTGCTGTTATGCCAGCTGATCCACGTCCTTCAGAACATGGTGAAAGCATGTAGCTCTGAAGCCCCAGAGGTGAGTAACTGTCTGATGGCAGCGATGCTGAGTCTTGTACACGTTAATTTGTTCCTGCATGCTTCTTCTCTCCACAAAGTCTTATGCTTCCATCCTGTGACTGTCTCTGAGACCTTGAAAATGGTCCTTAACTTTTTTGAGCATTTGGAAAAATATTTGTAAAATAGAGATAGTAGCATTTACCTTGAGACTGAGGAGATAGGCCAGTTGGTAAAGTGCTTGTCATGGAAATGCAAGGACCTGAGTTCAGATCCCCAGCACCCATGTAAAAGGTGGGCAGATAGCATGCACGTGTAATCCCAGTGCTGGGAGATAGAGACCAGTAGAATCCTCAAGTCTCACTGGCCTAGTCTAGCAAAACAGTGAGCTTCAGGTTGAGTGAGAGACCCTGTCTTCAAAAATAAGGTGGAAAACAAATGAGGAAGACACCTGACATTGACCTCTGATTTCTATGAGCATACACACATACATACACGCACATGCACACACACATGCTCGAAGACATTTGCTTAGAGGGTTTATTTGTGAGTGCTCACTGACGTAAACTGAGATCATCTGTAGATGGGATATAGCATATGACTTGACCTACTGTAACTGATAAACAGTAGCTAGCTTTTAAGAACAATATTCCTTCCTCACAGGACTGCTGTGAGGTTGAGAAAGAGCTCGTGATAGCTCCTGGCACACAGGTAGCAGCTATTGTTGTTGTTATTATTGTCTCTTTATAGTCTTCGTCTGCTGCCTTGGTAGTAAATTTATAAATATTGATGGAATGAATAGCAACTTTTAAAGATTATTTTCCTCCATTGACTCTCAAGCTATGATTTGAAGTAGATCAGGTTTCTTTTCTTTTAATCATATGCTTTCAAGAGTTTGGGGCCTGGACACTCACATATTCTTAGTGGAAATATAAGTAGTGTCATAATTCGTGGAGGACATCAAGTGAAATATCTCTATATAGAGATGTATATACACACACACACATATGTGTGCTATTGAAAGTAAAGTACATCCTTTGATATTTAAAAAGTTCTACTTCTAGGAATTTATTATAAGAAAATCATACATTCTCAGAAATGATAGTATAAAAATTTAGAAATAATTTCCTTATCAATAGAGAAGTTGTTAAAAATTAATTATGGTACATAAACACATAGGAATGTATTTATTAGGAATGACTATTTAAATCTGTTATTTTTAGTCTTAAAATATGCTTATAGCCCATCAAGCATACATGAGTCTGCATGCACACACATACACATACAAATCAAGTCGTAAAATAGTGTGCCTATGTGATATTTTGTAGGTACATCTATATATATAGCTTTGCTTAGAGGTATTTTATTAAAATGTGAGAGGATTTCAGTTGATATTAATCATCTTTATATTTTGCCTTCGTTTTTGGTAATGATAATATATTCTGTATTTAATTAGCATGTAAGCAATTTTAGTTCTGGAAAAATAATGGCAACAGCAAGGCTGTACCTGGATTTGGTAATAGTGGTTGTCTTTAGGGAGAGGAACTAAAGGGCGGTGGTGGAGAAAATCCTGCTGTACCCACTGCATTAAAAATATAATTATGGGACAGGTGTGGTGGCACATGCCTTTAATCTCATCTCTCAGGGAGGCAGAGACAGGTGGATCTCTGTGAGTTCAAGGCCTGGTCTACATAGTGAGTTCCAGGCCAGCTGGGGCTGCAGGGAGACCCTGTCTCAAAAAGACCAAAAAAAAAAGGAAAAAAAATATAATCATAGTGGTTTTCCAAATAAAAACAAAGCAACTCCCCTCCTCCCTGCTCTAGTCTCAGCAGGAATATCAAAATACTCTTGGGCTGGATAGCAATACTACTACTAATACTAATAATAATATTCGTAATATTTGTGTGAGACTTAGGTCATCAGTTTTCAAAGAACCTGAATTAAGAATGGGCAACTGCTTCCTTATTTCACAGTCTCCTTAAGAAACTCGGAATTTGCCTTATGAATCTGCATGAGAAGGAAGCAAAACTGAGTATGCTTGTTAACCTGGAGCATAGTTTTGTGTTTGAGTTGAACTGTGTGTGGAGACATACCATAGTGATGTGTTTTGTAATTATCAAGCTATCATTTTAAATTTTAATTAAGGTTCTTGTGTTATTTTAAAAAGAAAATTAGAGAACCTTTGTCCTATTGCTGATTTTGACTATTTTCCTAGGAACCTTTTCCTAGAAAATACTTAAAGTAGAAAGTCAGTTTTGAAAATTATTGTTTCTCCCCAACATGTGTACTCTTCAGTTATATTTAATACATTTAACATTTATTTGTTGTATTAAAATGAATACTTACTGAAAATATCCCTGATTCATGTCCTTACATCCTTTCTAGGATTTTCCAATGAGAAAAGTGCCTTGTAAGAAAGACGCTGCGTCGGGTTCTTTCTTTGCCAGAGACAACACTGCAAATTTCCTCCACTGGTGTCGGCACATTGGGGTTGATGAAACTTACCTTTTTGAATCTGAAGGTTTAGGTAAGTCTTGTTGCTGTGTAGCTTTTAATGTTTGTTAGGCTATTTTTGTATTCCTCACTTCTAAATTTTCTTTCTAAAAAGTTACTTAAAATATTATATCACAGTTTCTTAGAAAAATTTATACCTAAAGAAATTTTTTTTGAGATAGTACCTCACTACCTATCCCTGGCTGGCCTGGAACTTGCTATGCAGATCCAGATGGCCCTAAACTCAGAGATCTGCCTGCCTCTGCCACCCTAGTGCTGAGATTAAAGGAGTGTGCCACCACACTCGGCAATTTATACTTTAATTATATGTGAAACAAGTAGAGAATCAGATATTAATAAAATATATTAAGCTTTTCATTTATAGTAAGGTTTAATATATCTAGAATGCTCTAAAAATATTTTGCTTGCTAAATGAATTGGCTGCCAGAAGGTTCTGGACTAATGCTCTGTTAATATTTTCATCAAGATTTGTTCTACCAGATCTACTTTCCTAGAAATGTCCATTTAACCAGAGCATAATAGAAATAACAGGCCAAATATGTTTATAGTGTTTAGATTTACGTAGTAAATAACAGCTGCAATCTTGATTATCTAAAAGGAATAATGCTTTTGATGATTCATCTTAAAAAATCATGCTCTCATGAAAAACTGTTGATGTATTTTCTCATTTCCTTGAAGTCAACAGAAACATCTGTATGGTGACTAATGTGGCAGCTGGTTGTCTGTTTTATACACATGCAGAACACACACACACTTCAAAGCATTTATAGGTATCTGTATATGTACATATGTATGTGCAAAATACATGTACACAGAATGTATAATGCTTCATGAGATGGGACCTACATACCGAGGGCACAGAGTTACAATCACTAACTTCTGGTGATGTCTGAAAACAAAGGGGCATTTTATGTATTTTCTGTTGCTGTGATAAGAACATTGACTAAAATCAACTTGAGGAGGAAAAGGTTTATTTAGCTTACAGCACAGTCCATCATCAGTCCAAGGCAGGGACTCAGGACAGGAGTCTGGAGCAACCATGGAGGTACACTGCTTAGTGGCTTACTCCCCTGGTCTGTGCTTAGCCTGTTTTCTTAACACAGGGCCACCTGCCTAGGGATGGCATAGCCCAGAGTGGGCTGGGCCCTCCCACATCACTCAACAATCAAGAAAATGCCCCACAGACATGGCCGTAGGTGAATCCAATGGAGACAGTTTCTCAATTGAGGGTCCCTCTAACCAGATGTGTCAAATTGACAACTAAAACTATCCAGCACAAATTGGATTCATTATAGTTTTTAAATGTTTTTTTTTTTTTAAATATTTATTTTATGTGTTTGAGTGTAACCCATGCCGTACAATGCCCATGGACGTCAGAAGAGGACATTGCATCTCCTGGAACAAGAGTTAAGGATGGTTGTTAACTGCAATGTGGGTGCTGGGAATCGAATCCAGTCCTCTGCAAGATCAACCAGTGCTCTTAACCAGAGTCATCACTCTAGCCCCTCATCAATTTTTAAACCCTTGTGGCCTGCACTCAGGATAAGCTCCTACCTGTTGGGTATGCCTCTACCTACCTCTGGCCAGTGTAGTCTAAAGTGCAGTGGTTTACTCTTTTTGCCCTGCGGGCTGCACTGTGCTCTAAGTCCAGATGTACTGATTGTTACTGACTGTGTAGTTGATTTAATGCATGTCCAGCTCCTAGAGATGAAAGGGAAGAGGAAGTGCTTGGAATGCTCTCTTTGTGACTTACTACTTTTGAAGGGATCTAAGATTATCATGTATTTTTCATTAGTGGTAAAAGGCATCCAACTGTGAAGGTCAGTGGACTAAGTAAGACAGTGTCAATATCAGTAACTCATTTCTAGCCATTGAGCTGATAAGCTAGTGTTTTGTCTCAGAGAAGTGCCTCTTAAAATTTCTTATATTTTCTAGGAATTCAAAGCAATGGTAAGAAGGAAATATATGATTTTAAGATAATTACAACATTTAGAAAAACAGATTTAAAATATTTCAGGATAAATGTCTTTATTGGCGTGAATTTTAAACTCAAATAGAGGCCTTTTATATTGCTTTAAAAGACAATACTTTATAGCCAGGCATGTTAATATACACCTGTAATCTTAGCCTGGCCTGTTTCAAAGAAAACAGATTATTTGGCCCTGTGTATATATAATAGATGTTATTCATGCATCAAAAAAGGAGTGCCCTTTCTGTTGAGGGAATCAGTGTATGCGCTTGTCAGAACACGCTGCACGTCATCAGATTAGGATTCCCAAGTCTCTAGAATTTCTAACTCAGAGGACCAAAATAGGAAGGTAGAGGATTCACAAGTTTTGTGCTGATGATCAGGACCAGGCAGTTCTTCCTCCTCCTCCTCCTCCTCCTTCCCCTCCCCCTCCTCCCCTCCCCCCTCCCCCTCCTCCTGCTTCTCCCCCTCCCCCTCCTCCTCCTTCCCTTCCTTTTCCTCCTTTTCTCCTCTTCCCCCTCTACTCATTTTTTTAAAAGTTTTGTTATTTGTTTTTTTATGGATTTACAAAGGTTTTGTGACCTTATTAGATATGATTTGCAAATATTTTCATCCATTCTTCACTTTCTTGATAGTATCCTTTGATGTCTAGTTTTAAATTGTGAAGTCTGCCTGCTTTCTTTGATGTATACTTCTCTTGTCATATCTAAAAATCATGGCCTAACCAAGGTAATACAGATTTGTACCTGACCTGTTTCCTTTTAAGAGTTTTGTCTCTGAACGTTTATGTCATTGGTCTGTTTTTAGTTAATCTTTGTGTATAGTGTGAGATGGGGCTCAGACTTGTTCACGGTCTGTGGATACCCATTTGTCCCAATACTATTTGTTGAAAAGACTGTTCTTCTCCATTCAGTTCCCTTGTTGAAAATAATAGAACATGAAAGTATGGACTTCCAGGTGACAAGCTGATTCAGTGGGTTAATGTGCCTGCCACCAAGCCTGACAGCCTGAGTTCAATCCCCAGGACCCATATGGTGGAAAGAGAGAACCAAGTCCCCAGAATTATCCTCTGAGCACTTCAAGTGAGCTGTGACATGTGCACACCCACCCATCCCAACACACATATACACGTGCATAGATAGATAAATATAATTTTTGAAAGTATGGATTTGTTTCCTGATTTAATACTGCTCCTTAAAACATAATCTTATTTTTCCTCAGTTTTACATAAAGATCCCAGGCAGGTGTACCTCTGTCTTCTTGAAATTGGTCGAATTGTATCAAGGTATGTATTTCACAATATTTCAGAATTTCAGTGTCATAAATACCTTTAACCTACTTAATTGTAGTTTAGAACACTATTTTCTATAACAAAAGAAAATGATTCTTGATTAAAATGAAGTGAGTTGATTTTCCTGTCTTATCTTTTCGTGTCTTTATTTACTTGTATTTGTATGAGCACATGCTGACACCGGTTTTCTTCTTATACCTTGCCTTCATTTAATATGAAAATGGTTGCTTATATGTAAAAGTCTATAATTTAAAGCACTTCAAGGCAAAGCAAGTCTTCTGAGCACAGGGAAGATGTTGAGCAGGCTGAGGCTTCGTGTCCCCCACGCCTGCCTGCCTCATCGGTCAGTTTTAAAGCTGCCCTTCAGGGTTCCAGGAAGAGTACTGGGAACATTCTGTAACTCAGGTATACACTATGATCTGGATTTTGAGCAATCTTTGCCAAGGGCGTGGTGGAGCATGCCTTTAATTGCAGCACTTGGGAGGCAGAGGCAGGCGGATCTCTGAGTTCAAGGCCAGCCTGGTCTACATAGTGAGTTCCAGGACAAGCTGGGGCTACAGGGAGACCCTGTCTCAAAAAGACCAAAAAGGAAGAAAAAAAAAAAAAGCATTTCCAGATGTTCCAGTAAAACAGTTGGTACAAAAGAATCATACAGACTTTGCTCCCAAAATAGAATTTTTTCTGTCTTGATTCTCAGGGGTATGGTTGGGTCACCATTGAATGATAAGATTTCCTGGCTTGCTTTCAGATATGGGGTTGAGCCACCAGTATTAGTGAAACTAGAGAAAGAAATTGAGTTAGAAGAGACCTTGCTTAATACCTCTGGGCCTGAAGAGTCCATCAGCATCCCAAAATCCTGCTGTCAGCATGAAGAGCTACATGAAGCTGTAAGTAATTTCTGTTTTTGTTTTTGGCTATGATACCTGAAGTCTCTTAGTTTTATGTATTTCTAAATTACTGTAGGAAATGCTGTGCTTAAAGAACGGTTTTCTTATTTACATATATGCAGGTAACTAATCTCTACTCTCTATTGAGTTTAGTGTGTATATATATGGTTTTTTTTTTTTTTTTGGTCTTTTTGAGACAGGGTCTCCCTGTAGCCCCAGCTGTCGTGGAACTCACTATGTAGACCAGGCTGGCCTTGAACTCACAGAGATCCGCCTGCCTCTGCCTCCCGAGTGCTGGGATTAAAGGCGTGTGCCACCACGCCCGGCCCTAGTGTGTATATTTTAAAGGTAATTTGTCATTGCATGTGTATGTGTATTGAAAGAATGGTAGGCGAGTAGACGGAAACCCATCATGCCCAAGCATGAGAATCTGAGTTCAGATCCCAGCACCTGTGTAGAGAGCCAGGCATGGTTGTTGTGTGTCTGAACTGATATGTCAATGGCCTGATAAATTAGGGTTCATTATTGTAACAGAAAGATCACCGTGTGGTGACTGGGACAACTATGAAGCAATGAGAAAATGTTTATTTTGTGGAAAATACCTATGTGTGTCCAAATATACAGAAACAAGGAGAACGAAGGTAGCTGGAAGTAATGCGGTATCATTGCATGTTTTCTTCTTTAGTGTAGATTCCAATTATGCACAAAGTAAACCAGAAAACATTTCCTTTCTAAGTTCATTACCTTGTTTTGATTGTGTGTTAGTGACGATTGCTAGCTAGCAATGTCATGCTGCCCTGCTTAATGCAAGTAGTTCTTTGAGTATTTTTCTCAAGAAAAATAAGGGACTCATCTGAATTCTTAAGATAAAGCTAAAAATTAATATATATATATTCTGGGGGGGGGCATTCTTTTTGAGACAGGGTCTCACTGTAGCCCCAGCTGTCCTGGAACTCACTATGTAGACCAGGCTGGCCTTGAACTCACGGAGATCCGCTTGCCTCTGCCTCCCAAGTGCTGAGATTAAAGGCATGCACTACCACACCCGGCAAAATGAATATATTTTTTAAAAATATGTGTATGCATGAATTCATTCATTGTCTCCTTATAAATGCACAATCTCGGATACCCTGGTATAGTATTTAACGTACAGGCTAATTACTATCTGATTCACTTTTAGGATCCTGTTAAATATGCAAATGAAATTCTATTTCCTAAATACAGTTTTTTAAAGAAAGTAATGGCTAAAAGAAATATCTCCCTTCAGGTACTTTGGTTAATTAATGAATAAACATGGTTTTTATAGTTGTCAACTCTACCTAATTTCAGCCTGTTCTTAACTGTTTTATGTGTGTGGTGTATGTGAATGGGCGTGTGCATGTACAAATATGCTATGAACAAGATGAGCTTTATTGTGACTTATGAAGATCAGTTAAGATAATGTTTTTAGCAGACCCTGGTGAATCACAATTGTTCATTTATTTTTTGTAGATAATTAAGGCAATCATAAATTTCTCTTCGTGCTCAGCTAAATTGGGTTGTCTGAAGAGACCATTTAAAACATCAAGCCTAAGTTAAATTATTTTTATTTTGTTGTTTTGTTGTTTTGTTTTTTTGAGACAGGGTCTCTCTGTAGCCCCAGCTGTCCTGGAACTCACTAGGTAGACCAGTCTGGGCTCTCTGGAGCTCACAGAGATCCACCTGCCTCTGCCTCCCAAGTGCTGGGATTAAAGGAGTGTGCTACCACGCCCAGTCAAGCCCAAGTTAAATTAAGTGAATCTGTTTCAAAAAAATCTCTATGACAAGTATTTGAGAAAAATATTTATGGCTTTATTTTTTTTATTTTTTATTTTTTTTTTATTTCAAGTCAGTGATTTATTTTCATTCTGCTACCTGTTGGCTGTTGGATGCCTATTTATTTTTCTGTTGACCTAAAGAGTTTTTAATCATTGGGATGATTTAAGTTTTTTGAGTCTGGGTTTAGGGAGTTTGTCCTTTTTTTT